TCGTAGCGTCAGCCGGTTTGTTCCGAGGTCGATGACGGCGCCATACTCGCAGAGAGAGTCCATTCCGAGGATAACGTCCCTCGAACAGTCTTGCAGAACGACGAACTTGACAGGGCACGTTTCACCGTGGATCTCGACGCGAGCAGTGCATCTCCCGACTGGTGTGATGAGATGTCCTCCGGCGGTTCGTATTTGGGGTCCTTCCCACGGCGTCATGATTTTTCGAAGGCGGCGGGAGAGCCTCCCACTCAAGACTGAGTAGTCTGCTCCGGTGTCCACGAGTGCCGATGCGTCGAGGCCGTCGATCACAACGTTCAGGTTGTTGGACACCGATGCAGGAGCGTCGTTGTGATGCGTGGGGTCGGGAGAGTGGGAGCGCTCCGTCGTTCTTGGAGGCTCTTTACGTCGGTTGTCTTCTGCAACTCCACCTCCAGGAGTTGCCGCGCCTAGTTTCCCCGGTGAGGAGCGAGGGGTGACAGGCTTTCACGTCGGGGTCGGTGCATCGGCGAAGCTGGACGTCGGGGCGATGGCGACCGGAACTCTCGGCGGGACGCAGGCTCGGGGGACTGGGGTCGTCGCAGGTACTCGTCGATCTCCCGAGGGCGTTCACCATACCGGGGACGCGGGTCGTTTGGGTGGAATCCGCGCAGCCCGAGTCGTCGGTATGGGCATCGGCGGTACACATGGTCGGCTTCCCCGCAGTGGTAGCAGAGCGGGCGTCGGTCGGCCGTTCGCCACACATCGGTCTTCCGGGGTACACGGGGCTCCTGGCTGGCGTACTGGGGCTGGTCGTCGCGGCGTCGGTCGTGCTGCGGCGCAGGAGACTGGCGTCGGGGCGGCGCGACATAGGCGCGAGGAGGAGGCGGTGGCCGTCGGGCCACTGCGGCGTAGGTCACGGTGGGCTCCTCGGGTGCAGGTACGTTGGCAGGAGCCTCCAGTTGAATTGCCCGCTGAACCTCGTCGCGGACAACTTCGGCTATTGACACCGAAGCCGACTGGTGGGTAGCAGGCAGGAGCTTCTTAATTTCCTCCCGGACGACGTCCCGGATGATCTCGCGAATGCTGGAGATGCTGGAGCCAAGGTCGCAAGCGGACGGCGGAACCGCGCTGACGCCGGGTAGCCTCTGGTAGTGGCTGGCTCGGGCTTGCAGTGCACGCTCAATGTTCGTCGCCTCGGTTACAAATTCTTGAATCGTCGTCGGTGGGTTGCGTACGAGGCCACCGAAAATGTCGTCCTTCATGCCGCGCATCAGGATACGCAGCTTCTTTTCCTCGGTGGACTGAGGGTCGGCGCGGCTGCTCAGGCGGAGGACGTCTTCAACGAAGCTGGTTACCGTTTCGTTGGGCCCTTGAGTTCGTACTTGAAGGAGGTCTTCCGCTCGCTGTCGTCGTGTCTGGTTCGTGAATGTCTCCTTCAGGCCAGCGATACAGGTGTCCCACGACGTAAGTGATGCCTCGTGGTTCTCGAACCACTGCCTCGCGGTACCCTCCAAGGAGAAGTAGAGGTTTTGGAGGCGCTGCTCAGTGGTCCATCCATTATGGCGTGCTACACGTTCGTAGTGCAGGAGCCAGTCCTCTACGTCTTCGTGGGTCTCGCCGTGGAAGGTCGTTGGGGTTCGCTGGGCAACAGGCAGGTAGACGACGGCGGCGGCGGTCGGGGACTGCGATTGCTGGTCGTCCATCGTCGGCCTCGTAGGCTGCCTGGTCCTGGGTGGCAGAAGTCCGTATTCCGGGTGTAGACCTTGGGTGCGGCGACTGGTCCGAGTTTCAGGTTCCGCGTTGAGTGGTCTTGTCACAGGGCTTGGAATCGGGCTTGCACTGCGGGCCCTGGGAGGGGAACGCTGTACGGGCATGCGGTACCCCGCACCTCCACCAAAATGTCACGGATGGTGACCAAATAAACAATAAATAAACAGAAAGAAATAAATGTTTAATGTGGCGAACTTGGGCCAAAAATAAAAGGGTACAAAAGAACACAGCAGAGTGTCGCGGGCGTCGATATCGGCGTAGCAGCACAGTCGAACGCTGGGGCGAAACTGACTGCAGATCAGCACGCGGAGTCCCATGTACGCGCGTTGGGTTCTGGAACAATCGGCCTAGATTGTTCGGCGACTGGAACATTCAGAGCTCGATCTGACGAGAATGTTCTCGAACTCACGAGAACGCAATGAAAGAACAAATAAAAGAGCATTCCACTGACTGGAATCGAACCTAGACCTTTTGCACGACAGTCAAGCACGGTAACCACTCGGCCACGCGCGCGGTCGCTCGCTGACGAACGTGGCAATATGACCTAAAGTACCCGACGATTCTTTCGGCGGATGCTTCGTCATATGAGTTAGGGGCTGTTTTGTTACAGCTGCAGCCCAACAACGAGCAAAGGCCTGTTGTTTTTTGTTTCAAGATCTCTAACGCCTACGGAAATGCGCTATGCGCAAATTGAAAAGGAGACCTTGGCTCTGACTTGGGCCGCAGAGCGCCTCGAAAGTTACCTAAGGGGGTTGCATTTTGCTGTAGAAATTGACCAAAAGCCGTTGGTGACTTTACTGGGAAACTCCCCACTGGATTTGCTTCCACCGCGCATTCAAATGTTTAGGATGCGGTTGATGCGCTTTAGCTTCGATGTCGAGTATGTTCCAGGTAAAAAACTTGCGATTGCTGATGCACTATCACGGGCAGCTCTGTGGGGACAGCGAATGGTGAACTGCCTGTCAGTAGAAGTAAGCAGTTTCGTGGCAGGTTTGTTGTCAGAGTCGAGCGAGTCTGACAGCTTCAGATCAGTTGCCGAAGAGCAAGCATGTGATGAGACTTGCCAATAGTTAATATGCTTTACTCGAGAAGGGTGACCCTGCATAACCTCTTTACCGGCCGTGCTAAAGCGTTATTGGCAAGAATGTGGAACGTTCAGTATTTGTAAGGGCGTCCTTTTGAAAGGCAGCCGCTTCGTGGTTCTCCAGCCACTAAAAAGCGAGGTTTTAAAGCAGCTCCACAAAGGGCATCAAGGTATTGTTCGGTGCAGGGCCAGAGCACTAGAGTCCGTGTGGTGGCCTGGCCTAAGCTCTCAGCTTGCTTCAGTTGTCACAAATTGCAGGGTTTGTGCAGAGCACCATGACCAGCCGTCAGAGCCTATGCTGCCGACTAAGACTCCGTCTAGGCCATGGGGAAGAGTGGCAGCAGAGATCTTTTACGTGAAAGAAAGTTACTATTTCTTAGTAGTAGATTACCTTTCTCGCTTCCCAGAACTGTGCCGTCTTGAAGACTTGACTAGTTCCCATGTTGTAGAACAACTTAAAAGTATATTTCTGAGGCTTGGCATACCAGAAGTCTGGTGACGGATAACGGCCAACAATTTGTTAGCCAGAAATTTAGGCAGTTCGCGAGGGACTACCGGTTCAGAAGCGTCACATCGAGCCCGAAGTTTCCGCCAGCGAACGGCGAAGTTGAAAGGATGGTGAAAACCGTTAAGACTGTTGTTGAAGTCTAATGATCCCTATTTGGCTCTGTTAGCATACAGGGACACCCCGGGACAACTAGGCAGCACGCCAGAGGAGTTGCTCATGAGTCGGAGGCTCCGTACCACGCTTCCACTTCACCCAAAGAAACTGGGGCCAAGTACGCCGAGCCTGAAGGAGATCCGTCAAAAAGACACGCTCCTTAGGGGTACGCAACGCCCCTTCTATACCAGCCGCCATGCGGCGCGTCACCTGCCTCAGTTAAAGCCGGGTGACGTAGTCTGGGTGAAAGACCTTAGACAGAAGGGCGTGGTCCTTCTGTCTACGCTCTCAACTCTATGTGGTTGAGTTGAGGCACGGTTGCCGAATCAAACGGAACCAAAGAGTCCTGGTCCAATTCAAGCAGGAGAGGGGAAGTGTGGAAAATAGTGACTGCTATTAGTTTCCAGAAGTGGAAACTTACTGCTGCCCAAGGGCAACGTGCCCCCGTCGTCCCGGGTCGCCAATTGGCCGAAACAGTCCGAATGAAGGACACGAGTCTAGTTTTTCGTTGCCTGCGGTTCCTCCGGTATATGCGACGCGATCTAGCCGGATAGTCCGCCAGCCTGAGCGGTACGAAATTTCTGAATGCACCGTACTTGATTCTTGTTTGTTTTGAACTCAGCGTGTTCGATAGATTCATGTTGGTTGTGAATGCTGCGTTGTTTCTTGTCAATGCCACGTGATGACCTTTTTGATTGTTATTTGTTTGAGGGTGATTTTTTGTTTGATGCAAACTCTGCCTCTCACTCGAAAAATGGGGATGTAGTGTTATCGCTCTTCTGCGTACAGCGCGATACTGTCACGCGGTACTTTAATACCTCGATATGACTTGCAGAAAGTGTGCCGTGCTCGTTTATAATCATATGACCGGACATCTGGCACCCCTCGATATGACTTGCGGAAAGTGTACCGTGCTTGTCTATTATCATGTGACCGAACCTCGGTATATATTGAATTGCTGGAATAAGCTAGGGTTTTTTTAAGCCTGTCCGTCCTGGTCTGCGGCTGGAAGTCTTCTGTTCATTCAGGTAGAAAACACGACACCCCCCATAAAGAAAACAGCAGCAGAGATCTTGGAGGAGAGCCAGCAGAGCACGTGATTGGCTACGTTAGTCCCACGTGATAACACGCTCCAGGGGCCCTAAACTCGTCAAACGCAGAGTTGGATCCAAAAGCTCGCAGAGCGAGCCGATTGGACGTCGACGTGACAGTCCAATCGATGCGCTCCGTCAACTTCCGCCCCAACTTTGTGTTTGACGACTTTAGGGCCCCTGGACTATGTCTAAAGACTGAAGCGGAAGCTTGCGCTTACCCGAACAAAAAAAAAAAACAAAAAAACATGCCAAAGCTACCGGAAGTGGCGGGAAAACATCCACTTCCGGTCCAGCAAATGCTGTGCACAGCAGAAAGCATGTCCTCTTTGGACAGCGCACATGACAACGTCCCGTGCCAGATGGTTACACAAATGTACATCCGAGTTTGATTTTGACTCGCTTTACTGTGCAGGTTAGAAGAAAACTACGAGGTTGCCGAGGGTGTCTGCATTCCACGAAATACCCTGTACCTGCACTACGTGGACTTCTGCACCAGGAACACCATGCAGCCGGTCAACGCGGCAAGTTTCGGAAAGGTGAGAGAAGGAAACGTGACGAAGGCTGTCTCGGCTAAGCGACGGGAAGTGGCGTGAAACATCTGTCACACTGTACTCCGTTTCTCATTGAATCCTACCGCGGCCAAAACTACGGCCTGATAGTGCCAGTCAAGCAGCGCCAAATATTTATTTGATAAAAAAAAAAACGCTGCAGCCTTGGTTCTTTTGCGAAACGTGTTTAAACGCGGCAGCTTTATAGGCTGCGTGGTGCACTTCGTTCATGTGGTGGCTAGGGCAGATTCTTTCAGCACCTGGATGGGTGGTGCTCGTAGTTCAGGTAGTATACCCAGGGCAGGGTTTTGCATGGGAACAAATCATGTCACACGACTGTCTCTTTGTGAAGCTGAGCGCGCTTCCTTTTAGCACCATCCGAATACAAAGCCTTTGCGCTGAATTTTCTGGGTCATCGGGAGAGGAGAAGCGTGCATACCTCCTCTTCACACTCTTCCTCGTTACGCGCGTTCTTTCTAGACAATCTTTTTCTGCTCCTTTTTTTGTTGCCTTTCCCACCTGTCTAAGTTCCGCGCGCTTTATCAGACCACCTGCTTCTGCTCCTCCCGTTCCTGCGTGCTCGGTCCGTAGCTCAGGCATTCCACCGCCGGCTTTCACAGAGTGCTAACGTGGGATATTGGGCCCCGCCGGAGCACGTTCAGCGGCACAGCCGGATCGCGGTGACAGGAATGACTCGGCTTCGACTGACTATGAGATTACCTTGCCGCCACTGCCAACTGGTTCTGCGGTTTCAAGCACCGTTTTTATGCACGCTGACGTCGTGTGGAAGACTTCCGGGACACCCTGAGTCAACTGGGACGGTTCCCCGGGGTCATCGCTTTGAGGGAGTACCAGATGAACCACGTCTGGGCCGTGAATTTCAGGTCACCCGAAAGTAAACGGAGGGTTCTCATAACGGGAGTCCTCGTCGTCAAAGAGCGGCTATGCATCTTCATCGATCCGCGCAACCGGGACGTCCGCATCAAGCTGCGCTGGCTGCTCTTCCAGGTGCCCGACGAGGAGGTGAGAGCGGCACTCGCACTGTATGACAAGATGACCGAAGTGGGAACAGGGAAGTGGCGAGTGCAGGGCGTTGCGGGCTGTGTGTCGATGACGGATACTGCCATTCAAGCTCGGGCTAGATTCAGATGACCTGCCACATCAGGTGAAAATTGCCGGAGGGGTGGCACTCTTTGTGACGTCGGGCAGGGAATTGCTCTGCCTGTGCTGCCAACGGACCGGCGACATCCGTCGCAAGTGCCGGGTGCCGAAATACGAAACCCGCAACCGGTTCGGAGACGACGCCGACCACTGCGTGTCGCACCCAGCGACCACGGGTTGTGGAGGAGGGGATGCCAACACCAAGTTCTTCATGGGCGAAGCGGATGCGAAGGGGGTGTTTGGGGGGGCGGCTCCCGCCTTTGAGACACCAACGAATAGCATGACCAAGAAGGAAGCTGACAAACACGGGCCGTAGCGTCCACTGGCGACGGCTAACACCACATCGGTCGCCGAGACCCCAGCGAAAATTCGGGAGGTGACCAGAGCGAGGACAAGGGAACTGTAACGCCTAGCAAGGTGACGTTCACGTAGACAACCGAGAAGCAGCAGGGCAACGAGGTCCAGGTGATCGACGGCAGTGCACTGGCCACAAAGTGACCGCTTGAGCATTACTCAGATTCGTCTAAGGTCGACGGTTTCTTAAGTCCGTTGGATACTTATCTTTTGTAAAGGTAAGTATTGTAGCACCGGTTAGGGAGATTAAACCTTATTGCGAGCTGACGGCCATTAATTGGCAAAAGGGCTGTGGCCTTTGGAAGGGGGTCACATACCCCCATTTTCTATCAACATATATAGATCATTTTTGCCGACGCCGAATAAGTATCTTGGGGTTCCTTAGCAACATTAAGAAAGTTCCCTACTGCTCGACAGTTGTTCAGGAGAGAAGGCTACCAAACGGGGTGGGTGGGAACTTTTTTCGCGGGCAAGTATTTTTAACATTCCTTTAATCGCACAATTTCGGCATGTACTTTAGGTTTCGGCGTGTGCTAGAGGAAATGTACAAAAGTTGCGTCTTGTCTTTGGAGTGTTCATCTGGCGGTTTGGATAGGAAGGACTATTATTATCGCATGTGTTTGTTAAAAAAGTTGTGTCGGGTTTTATGTTTTTAAGAAATCAATTGAATTCTTTTCATCGCGCTGTAATCCAGATCAGGCTTTTGGATGAAATTTCATTGTTTATTGTTTCTTCGTGCTGCCGCGAGCAAAGTAGAATTGGTAGCTTTCTTCGAGAAGTAAGAGATGCGTTTCATGCACTATGTGTTCCCTTTTGTGTTGAAGAGTTGTCGAGTGGCATACAAAAGCGCTTAAAGGGATACTTAACAAACAATTTAGTGTCCATAATAAGTGGCGCACATTCTTTCCACGAGCCAGCAGCCGCCGGTGTGCGCGAGCACACACAACAGAAATGACGTCAAAGACCTTCATTCGCGCTTAAGGGGACAGTGAAATGCATGGGCTTCGGGCCAACGGAGAATAAAGACAGGCTTTTATCTCTACAAGTGAAAGCTACGTGCTTGTTAGACCAATTAATCGCTTACCTTTTACCCCAAACACCACTGTGTAGATGAAAAGCCTGTCTTTATTTTCCTTTGGCCCGAAGCCCATACATTTCACTGTCATCTTAACCGCGAATGGAGGTCTTTGACGTCATTTTTGTTGCGTGTCCTCGCGCACACCGGCGGCTGCTGGCTCGTGGAAAGAACGTGCGCCACTGATTATGGAAACTAAATTCCTTGGTTCAGTATCCTTTTAACGCGTAATGTAATTTAAATTGTCTTCGGTTTACCGGTGTACCGTTCATTGTTTCATGCAGTCCCAGGGCAAGATGTTTAATCTAGAGTAAAATGATGACAATTCTGCCTTCTATTAAAACTAGGGATGTCGCGAACCACCCTAGGTTCGATTTCGAAAGGGTTCGATATTTGCGAAGCGAACTGAGGTTCGATTTCGAAAAATTTCGATATTTTCGTACCGACCGAGGTTCGATTTCGAAAAATTCGCAACTTTTGTCCACAGCGGAGTTTCGAATTCGAAAAGTTCGAAGCTTTCACGGTTTCTAAAATTTCGAATTCGAATATTTCGAATATTTTTTTACTTCAGGTTCGATAAATTCGAAGATTTCGAAATTCTTTGTAAAAAAGATTCGAAAACTTCGAACGCTTCGAATTTTTATAGACATGAAGTTTGAACAATTCGAAGATTTCGAATTTCTTTTTCCATAAAGTTCGAAAAGTTCGAAAATTTCGATTCTCTTTTAACGCTAAATTCAAAAAAAAAAAAAAAATCGAAGATTTTGAATTATTTTTTAATCCAAGTTTTCAAAGTTCGAAGTCCGATTTTCAAGTTTTTCCACAGTTTCAGTTTCAAATAACGTTTTCACGACTCACTGGTTTTCACAAAATCAAGTTTAGAAAAGTTAGGGTGTGATATCTAGATTCTGCGAAGTTGGTCAGGCAATTAAATGAGACGACGAGTGTCCCGGATGTGCTAGAATATTTGCCAGTGCAGAATTGTGACCGCCAGCCCCGTGGGGGGGGGGGGGGGGGGGGTCTTTAACCTGCATCAAGCAGTAGTGATTGCACGAACACACTGTTTTACGAGACTCTTCCAGTTCGAAACGGCCAGGGGCGAGCAGGAGGTTGAGGCTCAGAAAAACCGTGAAGCAACCTGGCAAACTAGCTCGCCACCCCTTGCACGCTGGTAGTAATCCGATCCGGTGAAGTTTATAATTGTCCTGGAGGTTTATTTTCTGGGACGGAGGAATCGCCTCGCAAAAAGCACAAAAGCCGACACAACTCGAGGTCGAGGAGCGTTCTACCATACAAGTGACGTCGGAAGAGGAAAAACGGGGGGAAAGAGGATAGCGGGGGGGGGGGGGGGGGGGGGAGGGAAGGGCTTCAGCCTCCTTCTCTGCCTTGCAGGTATTTCGGACTGTTAAAGAAAACAATACGAGGAAAGAGGGCGTGGTCGAGCTTATTTTAATCTGAAATCATTTATGCATATGTATAGCTAATGTCGCTCTTCACTGCATAAAAGGTTGCGTAGATGGTCATTGTTAGAAACTCGTTGTCAGAAGGCACTGCTCGTCACATGCTTAGTGGTTCGGAAGTTCAAAGCTGTCTTTTCGACCTAAACACCTGTGCCGATAGTAACAAAAGAAAAAAAAAAAAAAGAATAAATGCGGAAATAAAAAGCAGGAGAAAAAAAAAAAAAACTATCAAGAATTCGTCGGAAGTGTTCTATTCTTGCATATTCAGAGGTTCAGAACTGCGAAACAAGTTTCTTTTACCAAAGTGTGTACAGGCTAAAAGAAACACGTCCCAGGAACGTGAAGCGAAAAAAAAAAAAGTTTTCTTTTAATGACGTGCTGAACTTGAACACTACTAGAAATCTTCTCCCATGAGTTAATTTATTCCTTAACGTGAAAAAAACAATAAATATATTATTTTGTATTCTGCAGATGGCAGCGATATGTACTGTCTGTGGTGTTAATTTAAATGCGATACCTCAAACAACTTAGACGAAAATAAATATCAAGTTTAGGTCATAATTGCATGCAGATACATGTTTGGACATTTCTTCGAAACTCACGTTGAATAACAATAATCACATCTTAAAACGGCACTTACCTAGGCTATACATTGATCATTCTTAAAAAAAGTATAACTTATCTGCCATGAATAGCTCCGGCTGCAGCGTGCTTCAAATCTGGCACAAACGATAATCGTCAAAAACCCGTCGTCCTTCCTCGCCCCTTCGGGGATTTATTTCTTTAAACCTAAGCATGCCAGAACATTGAAATAAACGACATTGTCTTTCGTAAGGAACGCAGCACCGCGTGTAAAAGTTCGAGAAAAAAAAATTACGAATGTACCCCACTACTTGAAATCAAATGAAACCGTCCGCCGGTCTTTCGAAGTTCGACGA